AATTGAAATACAGGCCGACGCACCGTACGGGCACGACGGGAAACAAGGGGACTTTGTGCCACGCAGGATTGTGCTAGTGCAGTGGTTAAGGCGACGCTTTCGAGCAGGAGAGTACTAGCGGATTCGTCGCCGGGACAACTGACCGTTTTCCGTTCGGCCGCCGTCTCAATGAGGCTAAACTCATATGGGAGATGGAGTGTGGGACGTGAGGGTCTATGCAGCACGTCAGCCACCCCATTTTCAGTAATTTACTCGACGGCTGTTGGTGGCAAATTGTAAAATGAAGCCCAGGTGAGCAATCCATCTCAGCTTATGCTTGTCAGCGAGGCGTGAGAGAGTGAGCACCAGCGGCTGATGCTATGTAAAAATTGTAAAGTTGCGACCTTCGAGAAAATTCTGGAAATGCTCCATGGCCAAGAAAATATTCCGCAGTAAACGGCCAAAGGCACTCTGTTGCGTGTCAGTCGGCACGGAGTAGAAGGCCAATGGTCAGATAGAACCAGCAATGTGTTGCATAAGGATGACGTCTACCGCTTCGCTCGAGGCGTAAACCATCAGAGACAGAGAGCGTTGGGGAGCCGGGTGCATCAGTTAGGTAGCGTCAGCCAAGAGAGATTTGATTCAATGGAAAGCAGTCGATGATTCCCCAATAAGCTCGAGTGGAACTTCGAAATCACGGACGATTTCGATGAGCAGCAGTATGTGACTGACATAGTAAAACGGGTCGTATTAAGAGAGGAAATCACATGTGACTTCAGCTTTGGGGGAAAGACAACGCAAATCATCGCAGTCAACATGATGACCAAAGGATTCAAGAGAAGGCACACCAAGAACGCAGCATCTCTCGAGGAGGCCAATAACCAGTTCGAGGTGCTTCTTTTGTTCTTCAGCATTTTGACCAGCCACCAAGAGGTCTTTATTTGACTCGAAGCTGACTGTAGCCGATTGCATCTGGATTCCTATCGTCTCGAGACTAGTTTTGTATTCGTCACTTTGACACGAATGGCCTCATCCGGCATATGAATTCTCCCTTGATGATGTCCATTTCGGACCTTTTACTCAATACAACATACAGGCCAGTCCTGCCTGACCCGCAAACTTACCTCTTCAATAAATGCCTGATACACTACCACATGCAGACCGTCCTGTCCGCTTTTTATACTTTAATGAGCGACATTTGTTCTTCCTATTGTGTCATTTCAGTCATATTCATTTTGTTTTTTTTTTTCAGTTTTGATTCTTTTCCACCGCTAGCTAATCTTTCTTGCTACATACTTTATATTTGATAACGATGAATTAAGTGTTGTAACGATTCTGTATACGTCTTTTAAAATTCGTGTAAAATTTATTCTTACTCGCTATGAACGGACCCCCACGGGTCTTGAATAAGAGTTATTACTATTATTATTTTGGACGTCCACAAACGGCAAGCCAGGTGCTACGTAATGGATGGGAGTCTGAAACGTCTGGTGGCGTTCCTAAGGTCGATGGGTATGCAAGTGAACTCGAGGAGACCGAAATGGAATATTTATAGCCATATTAGAGATACTGTCTAATGCCAGATTTACTTAATAAAAGGCACACACTAGGCCGATCTTTAAGAAAACCGTTTTGTTAAGGAGGGCACCAACGAAAGCCTGAACGTGAGGCAATGTGTGCTGCTCGGCAATGGTGGCGTTGTTGAGTGCACAATAGTTGGCACAAGTTCCCCATTCACCCGATATCCCCTTGAACACCATTTGCAGAGGAGACGCCCGGAGGCTTTTGAAGGCTGAATGATGCCTAATTGCATCCTGATCTTAAAGTATGTCTTCGCGGCCTAATTGCGGGCCGTGACATTTCGTTATGGTTGAGCAAAAACAAGAGAGCCTTTGGTAGATAGATAATTTTTATTAAAAACCCGTCGGGGTCCCATCAAAGCAAGTTAAAATAAATTTACATGCGAGTTTTAGACGAGGTAGGCAGAAGATTTACGAAATGCAATTCATAGTTTCTGAATAAGTAGTCCATTGAGAAGCATGATTGGTGGGGATGTGATGCACAATATCGTGTTGGACTTCGCTACCCGAAGCTGGTAGTTTATGATGTTCGGATTTTATATGGAGGAGCTACTGATAAGGGCGATAAATATCTGTATCAAGAACAAAAAGGTTGGAGGAGGTTGTGAAGAGACTCAACCCGGTCGTGCGGTCAAGCAGTCGGAAGAGTCAACAATGCACAATGAGATCAAACTCGAATTGATGATTGTGGCAGAGTATTGTACGGAGGTATTGGCAACCACGAATACTCAGGAGAATGGCCAACGTAGGGTGGCGTTCATTGTGGGGACGGGTTGCAAAACGTGGGAATGGGGATAGCGTTGACAGCTTGGAGGTGAGAATCGAGGTTGGGACGGCGACATTTGACTGGAGTGGGAGGGATCATGCTGATTTGGGCTCCGATATCCACAAGAAAACCTTTCCAAATCAAATTTGACGTCAGATACCAAGCAAACGTCTCGTGTTCCGGTACACCATGCATCGTCTTCAAACCTATGGGAAGAACGACACTATTCAAATAAATCTAGAATGAAGTAGACTTAAGTTAAGTAATTCCTGGGTCAACTTTCAGTACAGTTTGGTTGGAGCCTTAACTCCCCAATCAGAATAACCATTTATGATATTAAGATACAGTAAAGCAAACCTAGCCAGCAGCAACTTGTATGATCGTTACTAACATGCTTTGTTTTTACAGGCTTATTGTTTACTAGTGCTGGCAACTTTTCGAAATTTTCGATGACGCTTGAGGAAGACGAAGAAAAGATTTCGAGTAAACGGATTTTTCACTCTCTTATGTTCCACAAAAACCTAGGGCATAAATTCTGAGTATTTCGCCTCCATGGCCGGTACAGCGAAAATTCCGACTTCTGTCCTTTGTAGAGGACATATTCTCCCAAACTGATTTGGCTAAATAAATATATTTATTTTAGTTACTTTGATGGTTGTAACCACTAAAACCAAGATTTGA